GGGGGAGGGCGAGCCGAGGGCAGTGCGAAGACGCGGGGGCATGGCGGGACCCCGGACTGGCGCCCTCCGTCTGCTCGGCTCCCCGCACGCGCGTTCGCCTTTTCCCGCCAGGCGACGCTGCCCTGGCTCCCCTCCGGCTTTGCTCACCGTCTTTAAAGGTCTGAGTTAGTCTGTTTGCATCCCGCGGAGATCGCACTCGGCCTACATCCAGTTAGAGGGTCGGGTTCCCCCGACCGCGGGCGGCCTGCCGTCCTGTTCCAGGGCGGGTCTCCAACCCACACGCGCGCACTTCCCGGGAGCCCTGGCTCAGCGCGGCGTCTTCGCGTCTTCTCCGCGGGTCTCTCTTCCCCCTCTGAAGCCAAACCTTTACAAGGACTAGTGCATATTCAAATTTTGTCGAGCAGCTGCTGTGTGCCAGGCACTTCTAGAGCCTGAAAATACAACCACAGACGAGGTCCTTTCCTTCCCCCGAGCATTGTCACAGAGCAGACATTGTCCAAGAACCAAATAAACATATACTTAATTATAGCTGTAAAGTGACAAAGTAGGTCAGTGATATTTTGATTTTTTTCTTTCTATTTTCCGTATCGGGGATTGAACCCAGGGACACTTTACCACTGAACGACATCACCAGCCCTTTTATTTATTTATTTGTTTATTTTAAAAATTTGAGACGGTCTCACTAAGTTGCTGCATCTGGCCCCGAACTTGTGGTTTTGGCCTCAGTCCCAAACTCAGTGGATGGGATGATAGGCCGGACCCCCACCGCCTTTATTTATTTATTTTTTAGGGGGTGGGGCCGGGAGATGGGGGACCAGGCCTCCTATTTTGTCCAGGTTGGTTTTGAACTCCTGGCCTCAGGTGATTCTCCTGCCTATTATTTATGATGAGATCTTACCTTAGGACACGGAAGGCTTTTCTGATGAACTGAGGCTTCCTGTAAAAGTGAGTGCCTTCTACGAAGAAGGGAGGGAAAGTCTCTAAGTAGTTGGAATTATGTGTGCTCTAGCTGCCAGTCTGTAGGAGGCATGCTGAGCACAGAGATTGAAGTGAAGGTGAGAGGTTTGAGCTAAGACACTTGAATGGGTGTGGTGCCAGTCAGAGGAGGCAGAGCCTTAGCCAGTTTCTTGAACATGTCAGAGTTCTACCTTGGAGTCTTTGCATTTACTCTTCTCTTAACCTGGAATTTTTGCTCCTGTCCTTCCATTACCTGTTTTTTTCTCCTTTCTTCACTCAGGTCAGGTAGGCCTTCCCTGACAAACCTGTCGATAAAAGCATAAAGCCATTGAAACCCCTTGTTGTGTTTGGTTTTTCTTCACTTCCCAACTAGAATGTAAGTCCTTTGAGAGTGGAGATGTTATGCCTTTTTCTTTCTTTATATCTCTCTCCACTGCTTTGTCATTTAAGTCACAGTGTATAATTTTTTATTGTTGATCAAATGAATAAATAGTATAGTACTGTATAGTAGAACCATTCTGCCCTATTGTGTGGCTTTCCAGTGTGCTCAGCCGCAACTCCCATTTCATTCTCTACCTACTGTATTCACACTTGTCTGTCCCACCATTCCACAGGAAAGGCTCTTAGTAAAGTTCATGGGTTACTAGATCCAATGGACACAGTATCTGCGGACCTTGCCTCTGTGTGTCAGCCTCCCCTCTCCACTGACAGCCTGGATTTAGGCCCCCATCACTTAGATGACACAGTAACCTCTTAACAGGTCTTCACACTTCCAAAGTAATTGTTCTCCTTTTATACTGTGGCCAGGATAATCTGTATAAAGTACACAAATAAATTTTAAAAAATTAGGATGTTTATGGAACAATTTGAAAATTTGAATACTTCCTGGTTATTTTACAATATTAAGGAATCTGTATTTGATTTATTTAGTTATGTAAATGGGAATGTATGTTCTTCAACATAGTGTAGGGGTGGGGTTAATCAGAGCCTGGTCAGGTCAGGGTTGGTCATGGATTGATGGTGGTTGGAGCTGTGTGATGAGTACATGGGGCGCATTATATTATTCGGTCTACTTTTATTTATATTTGAAATTATCTGGGATGAAAAAATAAGAAAAGCCAAATATGATCATATTCCTTTGCTTGAAAATACTCAACTACTGAGGCTCAAGTCCAAATCCTATGGTTTCACATGGTTTTTCTACCTGACATTGACAACATGTCTAGCCTCATTTCTTACCCTTTCTTTTCATACTCTGTACCCACCCACACTGAGTTTATAATTCCCGAATTACCAAGATGGGCTTTGTATATGCTGTTCCTCAGGCTGGAAAACGCTCCCTGCCTTTTGCTTCTCCAAGCCATTCCATTCATAGGTCAGGAATATCCTTGTCCAGAAAGCCTCTCATGAAGCAAATGGTAACATTATATTGAAATATATTGTACTGTTTGTGTTGAAAATGTCTGTTCTCTGCTGGACTTTCAGTTCCTTTTATTTTTTGCAGTGCTAGGGATGGAATCCAATCTCCATGCATGCTTGGCAAGCAGTCTACCACTAAGCTACTGTCCAACTCTGAGCTCTTTTTAAGATAGGAACCTCTGTATTGCTCCAAGAGTTTGGCATTTAATAAGTGATTGTTGAATAAATATTCATTTTTTTATATTCCCAGCGTCCAGTATGGCAGTTAACATGAGCTCAATAAATATTTATTGAATAAGCCTTGTTGGATATGAAAACTGTGTTTTTGCTTGGTGGTATATGTATTAGTATTAGAAGCTGTGGTTGTTGGGTGCAGTGGTACCTGCCTATAATCCCAGTGACTTGAGGGACTGAGGCCGGAGGATCACAAGTTCAAAGCCAGTCTTAGCAACTTAGTGAGTCCCAAAGCAATTTAGCAAGAATCTGAATCAAAATTAAAAAAAAAAATAAATGGCTATGCTTGGGCTGGGAATGTAGCTCAGTGATAGAGTGCTTGCCTTGAACGCATGAGGCCCTGGGTTTGATCCTCAGCACCACATGAAAATAAATAAATAAAAATAAAGATATTGTGTCCATCTAAAACTTTAAAAAAAAAAAATAAAAGAAAAAAAGGCTGTGCTCCTCACAATCTTTTGAAGTCAAGGTGGTAGTTTCTGGTTGAATTGACTGGCAGGGTATCAGGAAGAGCTGGGAAGTCATCTGAATTGTTTTCTCGAAGCTTTTGTTTCTTCTCTGCAGGCATGGGTTTGAATTGGAACCTACTCCACAACCCAAAGGCAGCCAGCACCATGTGGTTACTAACTGCCCTTCATTCACCTATTGATGCCTCCCAAAAGAAGACGCGGCCAATCTTCCCTCAAAGCTCAGCTGTTATTCCACCAGCAGCCACTGGAGGGCCCTAAACATCACTATGGAGCTCCACAGAGGCCCATCACCCACACTCGACAGGTGCCCAGCAAGCCTATAGACCACAGCACTATCACTTCTTGGGTAGGGGATCCTTACTTTGATTTTTATGGTTAGGCTTTTTAGAATGTCAACTTTTAATTGTTGGGCATGGTGGCACACAGCTGTAATCCCAGCAACTAGGGAGGCTGAGGAAGGAGGATTGCAAGTTGGAGGCCAGTCTCAGCAACTTAGCAAGGCCCTAAGCAACTTAGTGAGATCCTGTCTCAAAATAAAAAGATCTGAGTATGTTACTCAGTGATTAAGTGCCTCGGGTTCAGTCCCAAGTACCAAAAAAACAAAGAGAGGAAAAAAAAAAAAGTATGTCAACTCTTCTTGAACCAGGGCTTCCAAAGAATAAGGTCCATGAAAGCAATGTATGCTTTCCTGTGGTCAGCCATCTTCCCTGGTATATCTTCTTTTCTTAGGTCAGACCCAGGTATGGAATTGGAGTCTTTACTACCACATTCTTCTGCAAAAGTTTGGTGTTAAAGTTTCATTTCCTAGTAAGTAGGTGAGAAACCAGACCATTGGCAGACAAATAAAAAATGAGACTGTTCCCTGAACTTCATGTCAAAGATAGAGTATTTAGCTAAGTACTCTGTCCACTGTTTAATGGATTGAAGCTTGACAAAAAAAAAAAAAATCACCCAAAATGGCACATACCATATTTGCCTTAGTGAGGCTGGGGATGTAACTCTGTGGTAGAGGGTTTGCTTAGTATTCACAAGGCCCTAGATTCAATTCCCAGCACAAAAAAGGAGGTAGGGTAGTGGGTGGAGATCCAGGAAGAAAATATAGCTACTATATAACAGAAATAGTATAGTAAAAAGGCCAAGAGCATATGCTGTGCTTAACAGTGCTTAATAAATATAACTTGATCAGAACAGCTTGGAAGAAGCATATTACTTCATTATTATAGAAGCAACTTACAGTTTAAAATTCTGTGGATGAGAATGAACACTTACGGAGTACTCATTGTGTGCCAGGTCCTATGTTAGTTACTTTCTGTATATGTCTCGTGCCCTATTCTTGCAGTCTGGCATTTATTTACTTAAGGCCTTCTGTGTGTCAGGCACTTTGCAAGATGTTGGGAAGTCAGTGGTGAAAAAGATTACTGGTTGTTGCCTCATGATTTTTGTTTTGTTTTTTTTCTTTTTTAATTTTTTAGGTGTAGTTGGACACAACACAAATGCCTTTATTTTTATGTGGTGCTGAGGGTGGAAACCGGGTCCCACCCCTGCTAGGCAAGAGCGCTCTACCGCTGAACCACAATCCCGGCCCTGTTTTGTTTTCTTTTTGTTTTTGAACTAGGCATTAAACCCATGCCTTGAGCATGCTAAGTATGTGCTCTATCCCAATCCTGCCCTCATGAAGTTTAAAGACAGTTAAACATTTGTAGCTATATGATGTGATAAAGTGAAAGAAGCATTGTCCTCTCTCTTATATAGGAGGAAACTGAAACCAGAGAGATTGAATAACTTGCCCAAAGCTCATATTCTATTATTATTGTTGTTGTTGTTACCATTATTAGTATTATTACATATTTTTGTGGTGCTGGGGATTGAACCCAGGGCCTCATGCATGCTAGGTATAGCACACTACCACTGAGCCCATACCCTTGACCCCTTTATCTATTATTATTGTCTTACTAGATAACTATTTTTGTTCTGTGTCCATTACTATAGTGGGACCGCATTTAGGGTTCTGCTCTTTGGATGTCATTTTCTTGGCCTAGTTGGTTCACTTTTTTTTTTGATCCTTAGGTAACACCTCAGTTTGACACAACAATAGAAAGCTGTTTCCCAGCCCACCAGAAACATCGTCACCAAGACCAAGCAAGACATTCAAGCCGAAAATCTACCTGCAAGTTTCCATGTCTAACCTTTGAGAGTCCACAGCTGTCTTCCAGTTCAGAGACACTGGGGATCCCCTTAGTAAAGGGGTGCCCCAATCAATCAGGAAAGGACATTTCCAGAAAACCCTTAATTCCAGTGCTCAGTCCCCAAAGCTGTGGGGAACTGTCAGCAAATGTATTTCAGAACTTTCCTTATGTGTTCATTCCGCCTGATATCCAGACCCCAGAGTCATCATCTGTGAAGGAGAACTCC